CACGTCCCACCCACCTTCCTCCATACCTGACTCTTCCGTTTTCAGAGGTCCGCATGGGCTTGCATGTCTCTCAACTCTGTAAACAACATTTAAAATAAAATAGAAAAAAAATGTCCACAATGGCTAGGGCTGGGCCAGACCAAAGCCAAGTGGCAGGAGCTTTTTCGGGGAGGTGGAATGAAAGCGGGAGAGCTGGGACTCAAATAGGTGTCCATACGGCAAGGGCTTAACCCACTATGTCACAATGCCAGCCCCTCCAGATTTCTTCCAAAGAATTCTTTGTGTCTGAAGCTTCCTTTTCTTCTGCATCTCTATCTTTTCATTATTATTAAAAAAAAAAAACCTTAAAAAATTTTTCATGATAATTACATGGTTGATCAAGGTGGGAAGGACTGAGGGTTAGGAATAGATGGGTAAACTCATTATTTACAAATTTGTTATTTCTTGGCCTGACACAGTAGCCTAGTAGCTCAAGTCCTCGCCTTGCAAGGATCCCACGTAGGCACCAGTTCTAATCCCGGTGGTGCCGCTTTCCATCCAGCTCCCTGCTTGCAGCCTAGGAAAGCAGTCGAGGACAGCCCAAAGCCTTGGGACCCTGCACCTGCGTGGGAGACCCGGAAGAGGCTCCTGGCTTCGGATCAGCTCAACTCTGGCCGTTGAGGCCATTCAGGGAGTGAATCATGAGACGGAAGATCTTCCTCCCTATCTCTCCTCCTCTCTGTATATCTGACTTTCCAATAAAAATAAATCTTTAAATTTCTTCTTGTTTCTGGGGGAAGGGGAGAGATAAAGGGGGAAGCTACACCAGGCTTTCCAAATGTCACAATACCCAGGTATAGGAAGCAGCCACCCGATGTCCACTCAAGGTCCCGGTGTGTGCATGTTCCCAGAGTTCTGCCAAAATGGTTTGGATAGTTCTGAAATGCTGTTGATTTTGCCAATCCAAGTATGATGCAGCCCTCCCAATGCCCATTGGCTGACACAGTCAACCTCAAGACTTTAAGAATTTATTTATTTTTATTGCAAAGTCAGATATACAGAGGGAAGACAGAAAGATCTTCAATCCGCTGATTCACTCCCCAAGCAGCTGCAATGGCTGGAGCTGAGCCAATCCAAAGCCAGGAACCAGGAATTCCTTCTGGGTCTCCCATGTAGGTGAGGGGTCCCAAGGCCTTGGGCTGTCCTCGACTGCTTCCCCAGGCCACAAGCAGGGAACTGAACTGGAAGCAGGTCCAACGAGATATGAACCAGTGCCCAGTGTGTACAAGGTGAGGACTTTAGCCACTAGGCTACCCCAACGGGCCCTAAAAACATTTTAATAGCTGCAGGCAACAGCTGAATTGCTCAAGGGATAACACCAAGGAACCTTGCCACTCATGAGCATGACCCTATCTCTACCTTAAATCAGCTGTGTTGGTCTCTGGTCCCAAACCTGGCAATCTATCCCTTTCCCTACTGTTACCTCTCCCTTCCCCATTTCCAAGTCACAGCCAAGGCCAGTCTGGGGAAGATGGCAAAGTGCCTGCCAGAAAGCAGCCCCTCTCCTTCTCCTCCGAGGCCAGTAGGCAGCCTTCCGTGCACAATGGATCCTGGCTGGGGTTGGGGCGGTTCCAAGCAAACTGGTATATCGACTAGAAAACCTCAGAGGGTTCTCAAGAGGAACTGGAGAGCGCGCCCTGAGCAGTAGTGAAGGAAACAGTGTGAGGTTTCCCATCTCAACAAATGCCATGATGAAGAGCAACTTAATCCCTCTTCAAACACCAAAGGCATACTCGGCTGCCTCCCCTTTTCAGAGATGGGAGGCTATGGCATTGTCTGGACAGTGGCTGCCTGCACAGCCCTGTGTCTGCCCAGGGCAAGCAACAAGGCCACAAACCGTCACTTGAGCACTCACTGTGGCCCTAACTTTACACGGCTTTATCAATTGCATTTTGGTTGTTTTTTCATAAATTGATTTTTAGCTTATAGGCTCTAACAAATTAATTGCTCAAAATCTGGGTGGACTGGGGCTGGCATTGTGGCATAGCAGGTAAAGCTACTGTCTGGCAAGCCATATCGTTGCCAGTTCAAGTCCTGGCTGCTTTCCTTCTGATCCAGTTCCTTGCTAAATGGCCTGGGAAAGTAACAGAAGGCAGCCCAAGTGCTTTGGCCTCTGCACCCACGGGGGAAACTCAGGAAAAGCTCCTGGCTCCTAACTTTGACATAGCCCAGCCCCAACAATTGTGGCCATTTGGGAGTGAACCAGCAGATGGAAGATCTCTCTCCATCTGTGTCTCCCTTTCTGTAACTCTTCCAAATAAATAAATCTTAAACAAAACTTGGAAAGTCTGCTTAAGGCAAACTAAGGGGCCTGGTGTGATGGCTCAATGGCTAAATCCTCGCCTTACAAACACTGGGATGCCATATGGGCACAGGTTCATGTCCCAGCTGCTCCACTTCCCATTCACCTCCCTGTTTGTGTTCTGGTAAAGCAATAGAGGATGTCCCAAAGCTTTGGGACCCTGAAGCTGCATGGGAGACCAGAAAGAAGCTCCTGGCTCAGCTCTGGCTGTTGTAGTCATTTGCAGAGTAAACAGAGCAGGTAGAAGATCTCCCTCTCTTCTGCTCTATAAATTGGTGTTTCCGATAAAAATAAAATCTAAAAAAAAAAAAAAAGTTCACAAAAAAGCAAATTGGGTATTTATAAAAGAGTTAGCACTCTGCAAATGTGTAAGTATTTATATTTGTATGTCGTATTTATAACGTTGAAACACATCTAAAATAATGCTTAGGGGCCAGTGTGATGGCTCAACTGGCTAATCCTCTACCTACAAGTGCCAACATCCCACAAGGATGCCAGTTGGTGTCTCAGCTGCTCTATTTCCCAACCAGTTCCCTACTTATGGCCTAGGGCAGTAATGGATGTCCCAAGTGCTTGGATCCTTGCACCCATGTGGGAGAGCTCCTGACTCCCAGCTTTGGATTGGCTTTGCTCTGGCCATGGCCATTTGGGTTGTGAACCAGTGGATGGAAGCTCTTTTTGTCTCTCCTCTCTGTAAATCTGCCTTTCCAATAAAAACAAATTTAAAAACTAAAAAAAAAAAAAAAAAGTAATATTGCTTGGGAGAAAGGTGGAGAAGGTTCTTTTCCATGTTTATGTATATCTAGGATAAAAATTAAGTAAGACAATTAGGCAAAAGAGGAATTACAAGAAGTCATTGCCTTATGGAAGTTTTCACTGTCTTATTTATTTATATTACAAAGTCAGATATATATATAGAAGAGGAGAGTCAGAGAGGAAGATCTTCTGTCCATTGATTCATTCCCTAAGTGACAATGGCCAGAGTCACGCTGATCTGAAGCCAGGAGCCTCTTCTGGGTCTCCCACACGTGGGTGTAGGATCCCAAGGCTTTGGGCCGTCCTCAACTGCTTTCCCAGGCCACAAGCAGGGAGCTGAATGGGAAGCAGGGCTGCTGGGATTAGAACTGTTGCCCATATGGGATTCCGGCACGTGTAAGGCAAGGACTTTAGCCACTAGGCCACAGTGCCGGGCCCAATCTTCACTTTTTGACATCAACATAACATAGCAGTGAGAAGATAAAAATCTAACTAGACTCAAGGTCCCCAGGAAATATGAAACACTCTCTTGACTTAATGACTGAGAGAACGGAGGCCAAAGGAGAGTAGGATGTTTTGTCAGTTACAGAGCCTGGAAGCGAGGGCTTCCAATCTCTAGCGACTGGCCTCCTCGCTGCTGGTGAGTATACTCAGCGAAGTCTAGGGATGAATTCTTAAGGAAGTAATTCTGCATTGCAGTGATGAACTGCAGAATTTAAATGTCAAACAGGAGATACATCAATCAGGTTGATGTGGCAGGATGAAAGTAATTACAATTCCTAAAAGCAAAAAAATTATTTGGACATCAGAGACATGTGTTTTCCATATACTGGCTCACTCCCCAAATGCCTTTAATAGCTAGAGGCTAGCCAGGTCAAAGATCGGAAGCAGGAACGCCATCTGTGTCTCCCTTGTGGGTGCCAGAGTCCCAGATAGCTGGGCCATCACCTGGTGCCTCTCAGGGTGCACATTAGCAGGAAACTGGAATTGGGATCAGAGCTGGTACTCTAATCCCAAGCATTTCTCATGTGGGATATGCGGATTGCAAGCTAGTTTGTCCCCCAGTGACTGAAAATGATGCCTTAAAGGCTATGCAGCAATGTGGCATATGGCCATGACATGGTATCAAGAGGGGAAATGTAGGATACAAACCCAGAGAGACTGCAGTGATGGTTTCCTTCAAGGGTGAACAGCAGCTCTGGCACCCCGAAGCCCAGTTTTAGTGTCTCCAAAAAGATAAAACAACTGTCTTCCATAGGACTGAGAGAGTGACTAAGGACACCGCCTGCAGGTGAGCCAGCAAAGTGTCAGTGTTGGCCATCGTCATGCCCATGATGGTGTGCTGAGCTCTGAAGGTGCCGAACAAGGACTGCAAAATGACAAAAATGGGAATGGCGGGAGCTGGCGGGCAGAGATTGTAAATATGCGCCTTCAGTTTTCTCGGCTAACATTAACTCATTTTTTGTATTATAAAAAGGCCCTTTGAACAGGAAGCCCCAAGACTCCCTGGGCCTTGACATCCACTCTTCTCTCCAGGGGTCCAAGGTCCCCTGTCCCTAGGTCGCAACAGATGTTGCTATAGCATCATGTTCATGGAGAACAGGAATAGCAGCTTGCGACCCTCAGAAAATCAAGGTGTACCATGATCTGGAAGGACCTGTGTTGATGAGGTCACACCCCGCGAGAACTCTGTAGTCACAGCAGTTGCACACACACTCCTCTGTCTGTCACAAACACACACACTCTCCCACACACACCCACTGGCACTTTCTGAGCCATTATTCACAAGGATTCATGTGTGAAGTGTTTTTGAGAACTACCCTGACCAAGGACATTGAGTTGAGATACTTTCCAAATAAACGGAACAAGTGGGGGGAAAAAAAGCAAGCTTCAGAACACTGTGTACAGAATGCTACCATTTGTATTAAAAATAGATATATAAATATACATATTTATAAACTTGTAAATGCATAGAATCGCTCTGGAAGGATACACAAGATAGAGATAACAGTGATTAACTCAAGGATAGGGAGGGGAAGGGGACTGGCGGCTGCCTTCCATCGGAAAGATTACTTTTGTACTGCTGAGTGTCTTGCCAGGCATATGTTATGAGTTTTCCAAAAACAAACAAACAAAACATCCGAGAAGCTGCTGGGTGCTGAAAACAGTGCTAAGTGGGGCACACAGCTTCCTCAGTCTTGGAGAGGGCCAAGTGATGAACTTGCTGGGCCACAACTGTTAAGAGGTTTCTTTAAAAAAAAAAAAAAAATGACTTTACTGGGGGAAAGGTCTTCCTACAACAATTAGCATATAGTGATTTAGCATAGCATTTTACAAAGATAAAGCAGTCAGAAAATAAATACTAGTCATTGGTGAAGCCTTCAAGCGTGTTAAGTCGGAGTTTCTTACAAGGCCAGGCATCTTATCTGTTTAACTGGATCGGCGGCACCTTCTTGGCAGCAGGACGTGCGGCTAAGTGCTTGTTCCAGCAAGCACCATCTGATGATGACATGTGATAACATAACCATGAAAAAACAGCCAGGAAGAGAAATCTGGACACACTGGACTCCAAGGGGTTAGGCTATCTGCATGGGACACGGTGAAGCCCAAGCAGAAAGAAAGAGCTCACAGACCTTTGCCCTGCACTTCAGGAGGTGAGAGGCAAGTGTGATGTGTGTGTGGGGCCTCACTTGGGATGACAAGACAGACAGACAGACCAACCCTAGATAGAACCTGTGGGGTTTGCCTATGTGGGAAGGAAGAAAGTAGGCTGGTGGCCAGCCTTGGTCTCTAAGGCAGCACAGCGAGGGATGGGCAGGGCGCAGCGAAGGCCCTGCAGGTGGCTCAGCCAGTCGCGTAACTCCCAGTGCAAGTATGGATTTTTGAGAACAAGATGAGAGAATCATATGAATGTTCAGCAAGATCCTGGGCAAAAGAACAGGGCTTAGAATACCCAAATCATCGCTATTACAAGAGGGCAGGGATACCAGGCCAACCCAGCAGGTAATGGGCACCAAGCGTCAGGCATGCCCCATGAGAGAATCCCCCACATTTACCATCTCAGTGGGATGGCAAGGGACCAGCTCCATTTTGGAGAGAGGGGCTTGAGAGGGGCTCATTCAGAGTTGGTTCAGCACAGACCCCAAGTGATGAGCCAGGTTTCCTAGGTGGCAGCTCTGTCTCCTTTACCTGCAACCACTTCAGAAAGGAGAGATCTGGGGAGACCTGCGGTTTCAGGCAACATGGCCTAAACTCCAGCCATCACTGGTTCTGAACAGAAAGGAGTTCAGCTGTCTGTTTCAAATCCTCCCACCAGCCCAGAACTGTCCTTGTGAGCAGATCCAAAGTACAGAGCTGGCCCCTGTAACTGGAATTAAGGAAGGGGTAACAGCAAAGTCGGGGCTCACACTGGCTTTCCAGGTGGCTGGAAATAAGCCCTGCCTGCCCTCACTGTGTGGGAGGCAAGAAGGGGGCAGCCTCGCCAGAGAGCAATCAGTAAAACAGTGCAGCCAGAATCACTCTGAAACCCAGACAAGCACTAACCTTTGTCCATTAGCGTTCCCATTAGCATTTCCCCTACAAATTTGGTATCTGAGAGAAAATGTGAAAGGTCACGCATGTTTATCTGACCTTGTTTTTAACTGACATTCAACGCTTCCTCCAAAAGATCATCTCTAAGTGCCCACTCCTCTCCCCCATCCTGGATCCTGCTGGCCCCAGTACCAGGCCACCTGGGTGTGAGGTCAGAGGATAGGGCAACCTCTTCCCCTGCCCCTCCTGCCTGGGCGGGCCTTAACTCCACCCTCAGTGATAAGACATCCTGCCAGCCAAACCTAACCCTAGTTCTGAGGCCTCAAGAAAGCTGCAAGAAGAGGATTACACAATGCTTCCTCACAAGGAAAGGTTCTTCTAGTCTGAAAACCCATTTAGGAGGAAGATGGAGCTGCCCAGAATACTTCAGTAGGCCCTAGAGCCACAGCCACTGGCCCAGGGGAGACCTGGAACCTTCAAGATGGCTTAGGGGGCACCAAGACAATCCCCAGGTACCCACAAAGCCTCTAGAGAACCAGGAAACATAAGGGGAGCTCCCAGTTGGTAATTTACAAGTTCAGGCCATGGAGAGGTCCTTCCTTGGACAAGAGGAAGTAGTGTCCTCAGAGGCAGGACAAACAGAAGCTTGGGGAGGGTCCTTGGGCAGGTGGGGTGGGGCCAGGCTCACTATGAGGGCAATACAAGAGCCTACCTGCATGGTAAGATGTTTTTATTTGAAATGTAGTCTGAGCAACATGAGTGTAGCCAAGAGGATAAGGGGCTGACCTGCTTGGGGCAGCATCTCTTCTAATGGCACAGGAGCCATGGTCCGTGTGCCCCAAATCCCACTCACCAGGGAAAGGCCAAAACAGCAGCAGAACAAGGTCCACCCCCAGCACCTGCCATTGCCACGCCTCCTGTGCTCCTGATCCCAGACAGGCTGAACCAAGTTTCTTCCCCCTCAAGACATGATGCGCCATGGGACAATGTGTTCTCAGGGCTACTTGTAGAGAAAAGGATCAGAAGACAGGAAGGAAGGGCAGGATGACCAAGGACCCCCACCAAGCCAGGCTGGCAGAGTTATCCCAGAGAGCCTGTGGCAGCAGCCCTCGGTCCCTGCTTGGGAGAGGTGGTGGAAGGAGAGCTCTGAGGGGTCACCTGGCTGAAGGCAGCAGGCAGGGCACTCCTGCAAAGAGCACAGAGACGGAGGGTCTCCAGCCAGGTGGACAGCACTGGGGCAGGCCCCATAAGCAACCTGGGGCTGGAAGGACACAGACAAGAGTCGGACTCCAAGAAGCAGCACAAAGCCATAAATAACCGAAGCAAGTTCAGAGCCGAGAGGGCCCCCAGCAGCACCCCTGTCTGGTGGGGCTGGAGACCCCCAGCACCTGCAGCACACGCACACAGGGCCAGAGCCGTCCACAGTGCAGAGCCTGCGGTCACACCTGAGGAGAGGGTGCAGGGCTGGCCTGGTCCTGAGAGGCTGTGCGTTGGCCCTGAGTGTCTTGGGCAGTGTCTTCCTGCAGGGCCAGGCCCAGGGCTCTCCTTGCCTCCATGTTGACCAACAAAGGATCACCAGCACCTGGCTCCAGTCCATTCTCTCTCGTCTCCCCAGGTGCCTCCTCCCCGGAGCCCTCTTCGGCCTCCTCCGAGGTTTCCATCTTCACCTCCACTGTCGCCGGCACAGTCGCTGTTGCCTCCTCTGCCTCCTCCTCCTCCTGGTCTCTCACCTTGTGGACGATGAAGAGGTGGCGGTTGAGGGAGCTGGTGGAGGTGTAGCACAAGCCACAGAGGAGACACTGGGCTGTGGAGCTGTCCACCTGGTGCTGAGGTATGTGGCTCTGGAACTCGAGCCCCGAGTCTGTGGCAAAGCTACATTTTGCACACTGGAAAACGGACTTGGGCCTTTTGGTGGCAGGGACAGTTATGCCATTGCTAGTGCCTGCAGTGTCCCCGGCTCCACTGAGCGGCCTTTTCAGATGGTTCACCTGAAAGGAAAGACAGTGTGAGTGGAGTCCACGTCCAACCCTGGACACAGATACCCTGACATGACTGGTGCTGTTGAAGGACTCACGGTGCCAACAGCCAGGCCAGGCATGCTCCAGCCAAGAACACCAGCTTTAGTCTCACTTGCTTCAGTTCTTTAATAGAACACACATGTGGGCCCAGTGGTGTGGCCTAGTGGTTAAGGTCCTCGCCTTGAACGCCCCAGAATCCCATGTGGGCACTGGTTCTAATCCTGGTGGTCCCACTTCCCATCCAGCTCCCTGCTTGTGGCCTGGGAAAGCAGTCGAGGACAGCCCAAAGCTTTGGAACCCTGCACCTGTGTAGGATACCCGGAAGAAGTTCCTGGATCCTGGCTTTGGATCAGCATAGCATCAGCCGTTGCACTCACTTGGGGAGTGAATCATTGGACGGAAGATGTTCCTCTCTGTCTCTCCTCCTCTCTGTATATCTGACTTTCCAATAAATAAATAAATCTTAAAAAAAAAAAAAAAAGAACACACACATGAGGCAGCATCCCAAAGACATGGGAAGGTCATCTCCAAAGATTACCTGGGTGATGATTTCTGAGAGAACCCACAGAAACCACACCACTGTCTTCTACAGGGCAACAGTGGCCCACATACACCTTCCTTCCTGAACATTCCCTGGAGCTTATCCCTAGCAGCACACACGTGGAGCACCCCCGTCTTTGAACAGCAGCACCCAGACCTGCCGTGGGGACAACAGTCCCCTCTGGTGGACAACAGCCACACAATACTACAGCCAGCATCTCAGACATTTCTTTATGCCCAAAGCCAGGGCCAAATGCTGCATCACAGGACATGCGCATTTCAGGAGAGGATGTACAGGTAAAGTCTGTGGAGAGAAGTCACCAAAGGTCAGCAGAGACACTCCACTGACCAGCCAAGTCTACAGCACGGAGAAGCCCACAGTGACTGGAAACAGAAACAGGAACGGGTCTGGGGCTGGTCTGTCCTGTAGCCGGCATGGGGGAGGAGGAGGAGGAGGGGAGTTTGTCACAATTCTCCCCTGACGAGGCAGCCCTGCTGGCCCTGCCAGCCCCTGCTGCAAGATAGAAAGAGGATGGTGCGTGAACATGTGCTGGCATCTGCAGAGCACATGCACTCACCAGGAGGGTCATGTTGCCAGGGCACTCCTGCCACAGAAGCCAGAACGTGGCATCGCAAGCTTCTGAGACTGACTCACGTGGTGGGACGTGTCACTCTTCCTGCCCTGTGGCACAGCCACATACAGGTTCCCCAGAGCTCAGCCCTCACCCACCTGAGAGGAACGTCCACCCGCTGGTCTGACGTGGGATGTCTGGCTCAAATCAGGGTTTCGGATACCATGCATAAGGCTGATGTGGCTCTCCAGCAGCGAGGGGCGGGGAAAGCTGGGGCTGTCATCGCCACAGAACCTACAAAACAGGCAAGCTCAGGCCCTGGGCTCCCACTGGGGGGTCCTCAGGCTGGCCAGTGCCACCTGCTGTTTCACCAAGGTGGCTGCCAATCAGAACACAAATTTGTGAGACACCTGGCCCACAGCCTCAGACTGTGTCAGGAATCCCCCTGCGGAGTGAGCAGTCAGCGTGCAAGGGCCATGGCACATTCCAGGCACTGGCAGATGTCACTGGCAGGGCCATATCCTGGGGGGGCTCTTAACCCTCAGTACTTGCCCCACTGACCAGCTGAGTAGCCCAGGTCCAGGAAGACAGGGCAGGCTTGGGAGTGTCTGTCCCAAGAGTAAGAAACTCCCACTCTCTTGTCTTTCAGCCCTGTGTTCACAGCAGAGATGAGGTTTGGACAGGGTCCCCTAGCCGCCAGGCCCCTCAGCAGCATCCCCAGGGACTCACCCACACATATAGACCTTCTTCACAGTGTCGTGGCTATTGCGGATATGTTTGCGCAGGCTGTTGGGGGTGTGGAAAGACTGCTCACATTGCCGACACGGGTACCGCTTCATTGTCTGTGAGAGAGGAAGAAATGACATGTCAGAGCTGGAAGATGGTCCTGGGTATCTTCCTCCAGCTAGGGACCCAGCCTGCCCAAAGCATCTGGAAGCCTCTCTGTGGACCCATGCAGCTACACTCACCCGGTCGTGGCTCTTTTTCATGTGGGAAATGTAGCTCTCCCGGTCGGGAACCCACTCCTGGCACTCCTGGCAGGTCCAGCCAGTGCTCCTTAGCCGGGGTCTGGCGTCCACCCTGCGATGGCTGTCAGGCTTGCCCCAACGGCCCGGGGCCAGGGAGTTGCCCCTGGCAGCCACACTAGCAGCTGGGGACTCGGTGGGGGCTCGAGAACTGGAGCGGCCCGAGGATGCGTCTGCTGAAGACTGGAGGCTCGACAGCTCGTCCACATTCCGGGGGACACCGTGGGTGCTCTGGGGATGGGGAGAGCGATTACTGACTGGGCGAAGGGAAAGATGCACAGTCAGGCCTTCGGCCCACAGCAGGTGCCCACCCAGCCTCTTCCCTGAGCACCGCACCTGGACGTGCTGCATCAACTCCGGCTTCTGTGGGAACAGAAGTGGGCACTCAGGGCACTTGAAGACGCTCGCCTGGGCCTCCCTGACGTCCTGGTAGAAATGCTGCTGCATGTGTCTCTTCTTGTTGAAGACCGTTTCGCAGGAGCACTTATAAATGAGCCTGACGAGACAAGGCCCAGGACACAAGATGGCCCGGATTCTGCCGGCGGAGTCCCCCCGGCTTCCACCCCTCTCTGCCCCCTACATTGGCAGGCTCTAGCACTCCTGCACTTAGCCCCGGCTCCCTGTCCACCCCCGAGCCTGTGCTCCTGGAGTGCACTCACTGGGAGGGTTTGTGGGGCTGGTTGGAGTGCTGGGAAGTGCAGTGCTCTGCAGTGCTGCTGGCAGTCTTGAAGGCCATGGGACAAAATGCACATTTGTGGAAAATCTGGCAGTGGTGCTCCTGGATGTGACTCTTCAGCAAGGACAGGGTCAGGTGGACGACACCGCAGTGGATGCACCTGTGCAGCAGAGAGGGTGGTGTGTTTGTGGACGAAGGGCAGGCACCGAGCCATCTTAGGGATCCTGCCCATCCCTAGGTGCTCAGTCTCCCCTCTTCCGCATACACAGTTGGAACGCTTCCTTACTGCACCACTGGGACCTGGGACAGGAGCGGAGAGAAGTCCTCCCTTCCCCCCACCACTGGTCAGAGGCAATTTTTTGGCAAGTCACAAGTTCAAGCCCACCTGAGAGGCTTGCGGGAGCTGGAGAGGGAGGCGAGTGGTTTAGCAGCATCAGCATCCGTCCACATGACGTGGCTGCACGAATCCAAGAGCCAGTTCAGCAGGAGGCTGTAGGAATCTGTGCCTTCGCACAGACCGGTAGTGACCAAGCAGGTACTGCCCCTGATAATACAGCCAACTGGGAAGTGCTCTGTGCACTGCGACAAAAACCACCTTCAAATGAACAGGCCCCTAGCCCAGGAAGACACACTCTACAGCGGGCCGTCCATGGGGCAATAAAAGGAAGAGCCTGCACTACAACGGCAGCCCAAAACCCACACAGACTGGCCTGGCTATGATGGTATGACTCGAGCGCCAATCAGTCTCCTGGGTGGTGGGGGATGAAGGATCTTTACTTTCTACCAATTTGTATTTTCCAGCTTTTGCATTGTAGATACATGCTTTTATAATGTATGAATAAATGAAGTAAAAAAATGGCTTCAAAGAACTTTTTTGAAATTGAGGCTATACGGACATCTTCTTTCAACTCCATAAATACTGTCTTCCCATTTTTCCAGTATCACAGAAAGACATGACATTCCTCCATGCCAATCTAAACCGTAAGGTCCCCAGTCCCCCTTACATGTGCAGGGCTTCTTCCTGCCACTTCCTACACCAGATACCCCTCCAAGAGAAAACCCTTCCCTGCTCACTATCATTCATTTTTTTCATCCTTCTGTTGCAGCATTGCCAGGGATTGTAGCCTTGACATTCCAGAGGCACTAGAAGACTACTGCTCTACTGAAAGGACTTGGTTCATTAAGAATTTTTTGAGGGCCCGGTAGCATGGCCTAGTGGCTAAAGTCCTCACCTTGAACGCCCCAGGATCCCATATGGGCGTCGGTTCTAATCCCAGCAGCTCCACTTCCCATCCAGCTCCCTGCTTGTGGCGTGGGAAAGCAGTCGAGGATAGCCCAAAGCCTTGGGACCCTGCACCCGTGTGGAAGACCCAGAAGAGGGTCCTGGCTTCGGATCGGCATAGCATTGGCTGTTGCGCTCACTTGGGGAGTGAATCATCAGACAGAAGATCTTCCTCTCTGTCTCTCCTCCGCTCTGTATATCTGACTTTCCAATAAAAATGAATAAATTTTAATAAAAAAAAAAGAATTCTTTGAGGTACAGGAATTGGGATGTAGTGGGTTAAGTACCCCAGGGGACACCCTTATCCCATTTTCAGTTTCCACTGCTCTGTGCTTCAACCCAGCTTCTGCCAATGCATCCAGGGTGGCAGCAGAGGACAGTCCAAGCGCCTGGGTTTCTGTGACCCATGGGGGAGAACTGCATGGAGTTCCTGGCTCCTAGCTTCAGCCTGGTCTACACCTGGGTTGCTGTGGGCATCTGCACCCATGTAAGGAAGATTTTTCTTCTTCCCTCTCTTTCTCTGTGTGCCTTTCAAATAAATAAATCTAAAAAAGGAGAAGAAAAACAAAAACAAACTGCTTGGCTTGGGCCAGGCACTGTGGCACAATGAGTTAAGCTGTTGCTCCTTAGGCCTACGGTCCATGCCAGAGTGCCTACGTTGACTTCCACCACTCTGCATCCATGCAGCTCTTGATAATGTGTCCGAGAGGCAGCCAACGGTGTAGCTGATTCCCTGCCACCCTTTGGGAGACCCAGCTCAGAGTCAGTCCAGCCCTGCCCTGGGCAGTGCAGTCTTCTGGGAAGGGAACCAGAGGCTGGAAGTTCTCTCTGTCACTCTGCCTTTCAAACGGATCAACAAATCTACAAAACAAACAACTAAAAACCAAAATCAACCAACTAAACAAAAACCCTTAAGTGACTATTCGACCAAATTTCTTCAGAAACAATATAAACACACTCTTTTCAACGTCACTGAACATATATTCCATTTTCCCAGCAGATGTTCTTTTAGAAACTTAATTAAAACTACAAAGGGGTAAGACACATGCAAAATATTCTAAGTGCAGGGCTCAAGGCAGCAAACTGGCGAAGACCTGCACAGAAAGACACATAAAATACTTCCAACTGCCAATTAATCACAAATAAGAAAATAACATGAAGTCACCCAAAACTGGATGGAAATGCATATTGTGAGAAAGCTTTCCATGAAAATGCATGCACTAAAATGGAGAGATCTTTTACTCCACTTTTCCATGAACTCTGTGAAGTACCCTTGCACTCACTTCCTTTGGACACCACTGGCTGCTCTCCAAATAATTAAGAGCATGATAATTTACCAAAATTCTAAAATACGTATTAAGAAACTACACACATACCTTTTACATAAAACACATATAAATTATGTACACACACAATGTACAGGCTATTTACAACTGTCTTAGAAAAAAAATATAAAACTTAAAACTTATATTGTAAAAACCTACAGTGGCATTGTAAAACTCTACAGAACAGTTCAGTGGAATGGAAATAACCAAAAGTGAGAGGGACAATATATATATTTTTAAGATTTATTTATTGGGTCCGGCAGTGTGGCCTAGTGGCTAAAGCCCTCGCCTTGAACGCCCTGGGATCCCATATGGGCGCCGGTTCTAATCCCGGCAGCTCCACTTCCCATCCAGCTCCCTGCTTGTGGCCTGGGAAAGCAGTCGAGGATGGCCCAATGCCTTGGGACCCTGCACCCGTGTGGGAGACCCAGAAGAAGAGACCCAAATCTTTAAAAAAAAAGATTTATTTATTGGAAAGTCAGATACACAGAGAGGAAGAGCTTCCGTCTGCTGATTCACTTCCCAAGCAGTTGCAATGGCCAGAGCTGCGCAGATCTGAAGCCAAGAGTCTGGAGCCCATAGCTTCTTCCGAGTTTCCCACATGGGAACATTGTTATCATGTGTTACTCTCTGTTTATTGGTTAGAAAATGATCTAGCTTTTGTGAATTAAGTTTAAAGTTCCTATAATAAACATTTTAAAAAGTGAGTAAATTTATTCATCTGTTTGCTGGGACGACACACCCCAAGGAACGCACATCCACAGGGGAACTTCTCTCCACACAACACAGAATCATTTAGCCACAAAAGGGGATGAAATACTAAAGTATACAACACGGATAAACTCTAAAAACATCATTCTAGGCCAGCGTGTTCTATCATTTACATGAAATGCACAGAAGAGGCAGATATAAGGGATGGAAAGTAAAGTGACAGTTGTCTAGGGACAGAAGGATGGGAGAGCTGGTAGACTCAGATTTCTCTTATGAAAATTCACACCAAGACAGAAACCCCAGGGACAGCAGTTCCCTGTTCCTCCCTGGCACACGCAAGATGTCCAGCTGTCATTCCATCCATACTCACTGGGCTCCTCTCCCGCCTGCTGTCCCTCTCTCCACCCCGTGGCCTAGGTCTCCCTGAAGTACTCCATGTGGCACCTGGCCAACACAGCCGCCTCACAGGAAGCCCCCAGGAGGAGCCTGCTGACATGCACAGCATTTACATGGCTCCCCTGTGCACGCCCCTCTTGGCTCCTAACTGCTGGCTGCACAAAGCCAAGATGTCTGCCAAAGGACACAAAGTCCCACCCCATTCCGACACGCCACTGCTCACAATTCCTGTGACCCCCAACTGGGCCTCTGCCAAACATGTTTCTCCTGCTGCCATGTTCCACCTGACAACCTCCTCATAGCTCCTTTCTGACGCTCCCCTGGCTTCTACCCAGAGCACCACAACCATGTTGCTAAAGGCAGCAGTGCAGCAAAAGCTAGAGGAACTGGATCAATAATGCCTTAACACCAAACTTGGGTCAAAAATAATTTTCAGAACTGAAAATGAACTCCCAGCTATTGTTAGGTCAGTTAAAGGAGAACTAACCGGGTCAAGGTAAATGTTTACAGCTCAGTGAGTTTCACAGGTAGGTTTCTCCTCCACTTTGATCTTGCTCCTGAAAACTGCTTCCTACCTTCCTGACTGACCCAATGGAGAAGAGTTAATGTCAAGTCAAGTTTTCTTGGATTAGCTAGAAGGCCGATCACTTTTTTCCATTCTCAGTTTCTTCCTGTTTCTCACAAACTGACAAAGTCACCAAAATGAAGAGTCGAGCTCTTTTGAGTCGGTGTCGCACAGCCCACTCAGGAACAAAAGGGACAGCACTGCAGGGTACTGCAATTAGTAGACATGTCACCGATATAGTGCTTTAAACACGCTCAACCATGGGACAAACTCTGTGAGCAAGCGAAATTCATGCACTTTCAAAGTCAACATTAACAAAGCGATACACACATGCCAATCTCCTCATTACCTTCTCCTGAAAAGGGGCTTATTCAATATTTTATTCTTTCCTTATTCCTCATTTTGCTTGTCCTGTCCTCTTCCAAGTGAGTAGTGTCTATCCACAAGCCGCCACCATTTGTGTTACCCAACTGACCTCATGCTCCCACGCCTTCTGAAGATGAAGACCTCAGCCTGAAATGAGTTATGGCCTAGGACCAGGCCCAGCCCTTGAGCCACACCAGGACCATGAGCCAGGCAGCACCCACCTGTAGCCCACCTTGCGGGCATAGTGCAGGCAATTCTCCTTTACGTGGGTCTGGAAGTAGGCAGAGCGACAGAGGACCCCACACTCCGGGCAGCAGTAGGGGGACTTGTGTGCATGAATCCGCTGGTGGGCACAGAAACTGCACTGGTTGGGCAGCAGCATCTGGCATACCTGGCAAGTCTAGGAAAAAACACCGAGAAAGCAGGTCACGCAGGTGCTGCAGGCCCCTCCCCAGCTACCAGGCATACTTGAGATACCCCTAGCCCTCATTTCAGAGTGGCACTGGCACTCAGGCAGGAATTGCCTGGCCATGGATTTCATCAAACATACCTGCCACTCTTCCTCTTTACCCTCAGGCCCGTGTTCCCCCCCTCTGGCTTACCAGAAGCCTAGTCTGGCCTCTGTGGAGGCCCAGGGCACCTTCAATTCTACAATCTTGCTGCACTGCCAGACCCAGGCAGGCTGGGGCCTTGATTCTGCAGTGACCCATTGGAGAGGGACCTATTCAGTACCCCTTGTAGGCAGATTAGTGACTTTCCATTCCCTCCAGCCTGCTGGGCACCAGCTAACGAGCACACCCCCAGACAAGTGCAGGTAAGGCAGCAGTTTTGTTCCCAGCTCCAGGAAAAAAGTAGGGAAGTGGAGTGCTACAGGCACTCAATCCAGTTTTTGTTCTTGTTTTTTTCAATAAATTGCAAGGGTGGGGGAGGGCAGAGAAAAGCAGAATTGACCGCTTATAAATGACTGTCAGAGGTATTTTCAACCAGTTGCAAGACGCAGCCCTTGGTTAGATCCCGATTCAAACAAGCCGAGAGTAAAATGAGATGACCCAGAGATATCTAATCATTAAATTAATGGTGACACTATCAGGACATTCAACATCAAGATCAAGATTTGAGATTAAGAAATTATAATTAGTATCCAGATGCAAAAAGCCCTTGACAAAAAAAGAAAAGCTCTGGTACCCCTGTTTTACAGACGGGGCCACTGGGATTTGTTTAAAACTAATCAGCCCACCAGAATGGAACCAAAAACATTTGAACCAAGACAGAACACGAGGTGGTCACTGTTAAAGGGGTTCCACTGTGAGCATCCTCCCACTTTCGTACATGCGTGGGACAGTCCACAAGAAAACATTCTGGTTTCTCTTTTAAGTGTTTATTTTAGTTGCAGAACAACACACACACAGCATGCTATACCTCATATAAAAGCAAGAACAGCACACGTGCACGCACACAACAGGCAAAAGCATAATACAGGGATAAATTAAAAAAAAAAGTTTAACAATGGCTACCTATGGGAAAGGAGGTAACAGGCTGAATGGGGAAGGTCGGGGTAGAAGCAAGACCTTTCTAAATGTATCTTACAATCCTTGTAACTAGGGGATCTCATTTTAGAATTATCTGTTACATAATCTTAAAATGCCAATACTATGCTCCCTGCCTGTGGCCTGGGAAAGCAGTCGAGGACGGCTTTGGGACCCTGCACCCGCGTGGGAGACCCGGAAGAGGCTCCTGGCTTCGGATCGGCATAGTATCGGCCGTTGCGGCTCACTTGGGGAGTGAATCATCGGATGGAAGATCTTCCTCTCTGTCTCTCCTCTCTGTATATCCGCCTTTCCAATAAAAAAATAATAAAAATAAATCTTTAAAAAAAAATGCCAATACTATGAAACTCGCCAAACAAAAGGTTACTTAAAAACGCAAAAGCAGAGGGCCAGTATTGTGGTACAATGCTTTACGATACTACCTACAAAGCCAGCATCCCGTAGGCACCAGTGTGAGTCCCGTTTGCTCTGCTTCTGATCTAGCTTCCAGCTAACGCACCTGGGAAAGCAGCTGTGACCCAGGTAAGAGACTCAGATGGAATTCCCAGCTCCTGGCATCCCGGCAGCTCCACTTCCCATCCAGCTCCCTGCCTGTGGCCTGGGAAAGCAGTCGAGGATGGCCCAAAGCTTTGTGACCCTGCACCTACATGGGAGACCCGGAAGAAGTTCCTGGATCCTGGCTTTGGATCAGTACAGCCCCAGCTGTTGTAGTCACTTGGGGAGTGAATCATTGGACGGAAGATCTTCCTCTCTGTCTTTCCTCCTCTCTGCATAACTGTCTTTTTTTTAAAAAATATTTATTTTTATTATTTTTTTATTGGAAAGGCAGATATACAGAGAGGAGAGACAGAGGAAGATCTTCCGCCCGATGATGCACTCCCCAAGTGAGCGCAACGGCCGATGCTATGCCAGTCCGAAGCCAGGAACCTCTTCCGGGTCTCCCATGATCCCCTAGTTACAAGGATTGTAAGATACACGCGGGTGCAGGGTCCCAAAGCATTGGGCCGTCCTCCACTGCTTTCCCGGGCCACAGGCAGGGAGCTGGAAGGGAAGCGGGGCTGCTGGGGATAGAACCGACGCCCATATGGGATCCCGGGCGTGCAAGGCGAGGACCTTAACCACTTGCGCCACTGAGCCGGGCCCCATAACTGCCTTTGTAATAAAAATAAATAAATCTTTTAGAAAAACCAAATAAACAAATCTTGAAAAAATAGAAACAAGTTGCCTAAACACATATTCCTGTGACGTAACCAAGAAAAAAAAAATTCCCAAAGATTTATATGTCCTTAGTGCAATATATTTTCTGAGTTTAAATTTTAATTGATTTTGTTTAAAAGGCAGAGAAAGACAGAGTTGTACCATCCACTAGTTGATATCTCCAACGTGTGTACCAATCGGGGATGGACCAGGCTGAAACAAGGAGCTGGCAGCTCCACCTGGGTCTCCCAGGTGCGTGGCAGGGATCTACATACTTGAACCACCACCTGCTGCCTCCCAGGGTGTGCATTAGCAAAAAAAGTTGGAATTGGAAGTAAGCTGGATTCAAACTTAAGCACTCTTATGTTAACCTTTGCTCCAGTGCCCATCCTTAGTCTGATCCATCCTAAAGACAAAAAGAACTGGGAATATACTAAATACTATATATTTGCCCTGTTAGGAATAGTGCTGGTTTTGAAGTCTGTTAATGTATGCATATGTGTGTGCATGAATATAACTTTATGAATACCTGTATGTAATAGGAAAATACTAGGAACCAAAAACGTTTTTTTGAAGATTTAGTCCTTTTAGTGGAAAGGCAGATCAGATTTATGGAGAGAAGAGACAGAAAGATCTTCCATTCACTGATTCATTCACTAAATAGCTGTAACGGTCAGAGCTGGACTGAGCTGACCCGAATCCAGGAGCCAGGAGCTTCTTCTGGGTCTCCCACACGGGTGCAGGGTCCTAACACTTTGGGTTGTCCTCTACTGCTTTCCCAGGCCACAAGCAGGGAGCTGGATGGGAAGTGGAGCTGCCAGGACAGGAACTAGTGCCCAAATGGAATCCGGTGCTTGCAAGGTGAGGATTTAGCCGTTGAGTCATTGCAGTGGGCCCAGAAACCAGAATATTCAATATAAAATTAGCTACCTTAAAAACTCAATTATCTTAAAGTTGAGCTTAAGTTTGCACTCAAACGCCTTCTACCTCTGGTCATTTGGAAAGACAAGATGGAGAGATGAGCACAACAGCCAGGGGCATAGCTTGTGCCCAGATTTTGGCCTCTAAACCCCTTTCCTCAATGAAAGGAAACTGCTGCTTTGGAAAAACAGCTGGTTCTAGGCTTAGCAAAGGAATAGGCCCAGCATATTTTGTTTGGACTGTGAAATAATGAAACCTCTTAAGAATTACAGAGTTTGTCAGAAAGATATGGGTGTGAAATGTTGGGCATCAAAAAGAATGACCTATTATGTTCATACACAAGTGTATACACAACCTGTCACAGTGAGTTCATTAGGACATGAAAACTAAAAATAGCAGAAGTCTCTCCATACCTCTCTGGTCCACTTCTCTTTTAAATAAATTTTTAAAAAAATTCTTTAAAAAAGCCAGATTGTCGTATGACCACTAACTTCTCAATATATACCCAAAACAATTCAAAGCAAGACCTCAAGAGTATACTCATGTTCTTTGCTTGCTTCTCTGATTGAATAATGCTAAGTGTCCAGCAACAGACTACAAACGAGGACACTTCTCCAGTCTGAACAAGGAAGAAATTCTGACACCTGTTATAATTTGGATGAAGTACCATGGGATGATGCTGTGTAAAGTCCCTGCAGTGGCCACCTTCTGAGAAGCAGAGGACAGAATGTGGCGGCCGTGGGCTGCAGCAGGAGGGACAGGATCAGGGTGGATTGGGCGCAGGGTGCCGGCTGGAAAAGAGAAGTCTCTGGAGCTGGGCTGCCACACAGCCGGGCTGCACAGAGCACTGTGGAGGTGTGCATGGAAAGGGCTGCAAGGGGAAGCTCCAGGGCAGATGCGCTCCACCACAGCTAAAAAGCAGGCTCTGAGAACATCATTCCATGTTGTCAAAGCACCCACTCTCTTCCATTTTTTCCAACATAAACTATATTTCAGCGTAGGTATACTGTTATACACAATTCCAACCAATAAATAAGAATGAAGTAAGAAACACATCCTTTTGAAATTAGCACCAAGCAGCAACTGTTGATTCATTACTAAAGCCATGAGGTAAAACTGAGGGGGTGTGGAAGAACTTTCCTCCAATCAAGCCCAGCACCCTGGAAGTGAGGCAGGCACATTAAGTCTCCTGACAGTGCCAAAAGAGAGGAACACGACACCCTTGGTGCCATCCCCAGCAAAACTGAGCCCGAATCCAGGCAGGTCCTCATCACTGCCTTCGAGCAGACAGGGAAACTACAGGGCCAGGGAGAAAGGACTTGTGTGAGAAAGCAATCAAACTCAGAATCTGGCTTGGAAAACACTCCATTCAAGGATCCAGTTTCTTCAACAAATGCACAGCATGTCAAAAGGGGGGTAGACACTAGCACTGTGAGGAGGTGGGCTACGCTGTTGCTTGTGATGCTGGCATCGCACAGTGGAGCACCGACTGGAGTCCTAGCAGCTCTCTGCTAACGCATCTGGAAAAGCAGCAGATGACCCAAAGGCTTGGGCCCAGAGCCCAGGATGAGCTTCTGGCTCTTAGCTTCAGCATAACCCAGCCCTGCCTGTTGTGTCCACTTAGGGTTGGAAGATCTCCCTCTCCAATCTCGCTCTCTAACTCTGCATTTCAAATAAATATTTTTAAAAAGTGTTCTGATGGGATGTGGTGGGAGGAGGTACTGTTCTAGACAGG